CGGGTCCAAACCATTGAGCGGTATTGTTATAGAATAGGCACTTGGCTTCAGTGAATCCCTTGGATTCATAGCCGGGGAAACAGCTGTACTGTACGGTGGCGTCGATCTCGAAGTCCAACTGATCCAATGGCGCCGAGTGTTTGGCGTGCGGTACTGTCAATGGGATGTTACACATCGCTATCCAACAAACAAACAAAATCAGTGAAGTTAGAGAGCATATTATGAGAGAGAGAGAGAGAGAGAGAGAGAGAGAGAGAGAGATTTAATTTTGCGAAAGTGATGGAGAGAGCAAACAGAACATTATATACACGTATACACTATAATAGATATTAAGGGCTGACTTTTATTAATTAAAATTATGGTCTATTTATGGCAAACAGAGGTTCAATGCAATCGATGTAAACGCTATTATTATCCACAGCTTTAATGCTGTAATCATTATTATTGATTTCACTGAATATTACACTCTGTTATAATTATTGGTGAATTATTTCCCATTTACTTAACCCATAATCCCCTATATTTAACGATTTGTTTGAGAATAATATTAACTTAATCTATGAGATGATAAATCGGTTCATAATCATGTTTAGTCCTTTAATATTATATTAAACAAAAATTAATTATACTTATATTTTATTTGTTTTATATAACATATACAATACTATATTAATTCCTTAAGCCTTTTTTGTCTAGATTTTAATGAAAAAATTAATAATAAATGAGTAGAATATTCACACAAGTGTTTTTTAAATAAATAAAACTTAGAGTCAAATGTTAGATATTTAGTAAATACTTAAAATGATAATATAATTTCACGTAAGTAAAATGTTAGTTTATAAATCCAATTTTGGGAGGTATTTATCCATGATAAATGTGTCGAATATTACAATAAATTGAAAAATTCTTATAAATATTTGATTTTAATTTTCAAAATATTTTGGAAATACAGAAATCTTTCAGCCATTTATTGCACAAACACTCAAAATAATACTACAAAACAATAAAAACAAAAGCAATAAAACTCAAACCAAAATTTACTTACATATAAATAATTAATTTAAAAAATAACACAAGTACAAAAAATAAGCAAGCTCACCTTTTTTCTTGCATTCAGGCGCCTGATCACTCCAGCTCCGCAGGGGGACTGTGTGGGAGAGCGCCTGCGGGCTGTATATTTTGAGAAGTAACGTTCTCATCCACTGGGCTCGCGGCTTCATTAACGGTAAGTCAAATTTGTGGGGCAAGAGATATCGGCAGTGTTCATCGCAATTCAAATCTATAGTCATATAAAGGCAAAGGGAGTGGAAGAAGAAGATGACAAAAGTAAGCTATCATTTAAAAAAAAGTAAAGTAGTTTACAGTATAATATACTATATATTCTGTACTCATACACGTCTGGACATAATAATCTGATTTTGAAATTATTGAATAACTTCTCTCTCGATGGTTCAATCAAAGAGCTGTCTTCGCAGAATTATTCTATGGATAATGGAGACTAATTTACTAATTGCGATTATTTTAGTAACTATCATGGTTAATTAATTATTTCAATATCAAAAAAGTGAGATTTTCAAAAAAGTATCCATAGAAAATCAATGAAAATTTATAAATTTTTTATTTTACTTATATAAAAATGATATTCAATGTTGATATTTATTATAAACCTTAATATTTTCACAAGTTTAATCAATATAAAGGACAATGATCAAAAATGACCAAGTTTTATAAAAGCATTAATATGCTTTTATTTTGGAAAATTAATAGAAAAATAATTAATTAAGATCAGTTATTGTAACCAATGACCACATCTCTCTATTTCATCATGTTCGGGAATAGAGGCAGGTAATTAAAAATTATCAATTTATTATAATGTTATTTATAAATAAGTTCAAATATTCATTTTAAGTTCAAAATACTACATTTTTATATCATCTGAAGTAGTGATCGGCAGCATACCTACCATGGTAGGTTACCCGCAAACATCCCTACTAGTTAGTAATATTATAATCTATGGAAAACTTGGGACATCTATGGGATAATTTATGGCAAACACCTCTATTTGCCGATCCCTAATCTGAAGCATTGTATCAAAATATTGTTTCAATATTGACTTGATTATATACCATAGGATTAAACAAGGATCACACAGCGATGCTATACGTTAACCACTATTCGGGAAATGTATCAAAGATTTTAAATTTTTCAATACTATTGTTAGAACAATCTCACTATTATTACTTTGAGAATTTTAAATGTTTTTGACAACAATTAGTTCTATTTATTATGGCAAATTCATTTAGAATATCTCCATAGACTTAATATTGCCCATGTTATTCCTATGCCATAGATGTATCATTGTCCATAAGATCAGAATCAACTCCATAGACTTAACATTACCCATAGACTTAGCATTGTCCATAGACTTAGCATTACACATGTTATTCCTATGTCATAGACTTAGCATTGTCATAGACTTATCATTATTTATAGATTTAGCATTATCCATGCTATAGACTTAGCATTGTCCATGTTATTCCTATACCATAGACTTAGCATTACCCATGTTATTCCTATGCCATAGACTTAGCAGTACCCATGTTATTCCTATACCATAGACTTAAGCTGTAATCCCATAGAAACCCATGCTAAAGCGGCCCATGTTAAACCTATGAGAGCTTCCCCATGTTAAAGTATAGCCATAGAATTAACATGGGATCCCATGTTATTTTCCATAGGGTGGGGGGGGAGGGGGGGAGGGGTAGCGTCGACATCCTATAAACCACATTCTTCATTCTGAATTGTGGTTAAAAATAGATAGTATTTATATATTGCGTTTAAAAATTGTATTTTCTACAATGGACGTCAGAGTTTATAACGATACTTGGTATATCCCTCGCAATCAAACTATAATATTAAAATAATTAGTGGTTTACAATTATTAAAAAACAGACACTCATTATTCGTTTGTTAAATTATTTGATTATAAAGTATGAATTATTCTAGTTTAAATATTTTATTATTAAAATAATAATAATACAATTAATTATATTTTAAATATGGATCACGATAACAATTGTTTTGAATGAATAATATTATTCTTACGTTAATTGCAAATTAAATCCATAATTTATGCATTAAAAGAATGTTGTAAACATTGATTATACAATCGTCGGATATATTCACCAAATTTAATAACATTAATCCCATAATCGACTAAAAATATAATCTATTTATTATGGTTACATGTATTTGAATTATAAGGGCCCTCATATTAACAAGCGCATTTTCTGGTGTTTGTTAAACTCATATTTTAATGTTTAATTAATGTCAATTGCGGAGACATTGGACGACATTGTCACTTCATTCGCATTTTATGCGTTTACAAACATCAATAGTACTCTTATTATCATTAATATTGTAATTACTCGTTTTGAACTGATTGAAAAATTGTCTAATGTTTGCATACTTTTGGTTTAAATTTATGTTGTTTTTCGACTGTTTTTTAATGAACTTTTCAATCCATTTGGAGAGACCGTCTGACAGTGAGTCAAACCGAGAGTCAAGCAAAACAATCACTCCATAGTCGTCTTTATGTCTGATCACTCGACCGATCGCCTGATTCAACGCTCGTTTCATTTGCAACGCATACCACTCGTAAGGCGTGAGTCCGATCTGGGCTTCGGTTAAATACTTTTTCTTAAGCATAACTTGCGGATCAAATACCGCCGGATATGGGAGGCCAGTCATGACGACCGCACGGCAGTAGTCGTCCGGCAAATCGATACCTTCGGATAGTTTGCCGCGGAATACACCCATAAAGGCGGCGCCGTTGGAGAAGCCGTTGTCCACTGTTTGCTTATATCTCTCGAAGGCTTTATTAAATTCCAGCTTATTTTGGGACTCAAGAAACACGCGTTTCACTGCATTGAGCTCTTCCCACACACAGAGTTGAGTCCAGAGTTTAGCGCATTTATTGAGCACCTTATAGGACGAGAAGAACACCAGAATCCCTTTGGGAGTCGCTTTGAATACGTCGACCAGTGTCTGACCCAAAGCCCGCACGTACTCCTCTTTGTCGCGGTTCTTGTAATTCGAGGACAACATTACGTTGTCTTTGGATTCACCGATGGTTACGATCGACAGCTGATTGGCGCCAATGATGTGATTGTTTTGTAGTATTTCTTTAAACTTCATATCCATTTCCAACTCAAACGAGTGAATCGGTGCCAGAGTTCCGCTCGTGATTATCATACTATGGACGCCTTCGGCCATCAGTTCTTTGGCGCCAACACTTGGACTCATACACCTAAACGACATGATAAACATATGGTTAAATCTTAATGAAATTCAATAGTTTAAATTGTAATTACCAAACATTAAACACCCACATGTTTTGAAAAGTGTCTTTAATTTCAAAATAAAGTTTATATTTCAGACAAAGATCATGTTTATAATCGTCTAACTTTTCCGGTGTTAACCATTTCGGGTATATTTTTGTAAAAAAGTCTTTCACCAAACGGATAGACGTGTGTTGACTGGTGGTACCGATGCCGTGAAAGCCACACAATTCGTACATAAAGCCTAAGAATCCAATACACGATCCGATGGCTTCGTAATCAAAGCCCGATTCGTCCAACAGTTCAAACAACTCATTAGTTGAGGGTTTGTCAATGAATTTGGCCACAAAACGGGTTACTATATTCTTCTGAAGTTCGCAGAGCTTTAAGCTCATATCAAGCACCCGATCGGTACGGTATTGGGCGTCAGATTTAAACTTATCGTTCACTTGCTTTTTGGGCGTCCGTTGCATCCATTCGTCAATTAAATGTAATTGTTTGATACAAGTGTCCAGCGTTTGGCGGTTGATGTGTGTGGACATCGCCTCCTCGAACCTGTCCTCGACATTGTGTCCCTCATCGAAGATAATCACAGAGTCCTTAACTCTTAACGCTTTGGCCGCTTTCATCGCGTGTCGTATCCGCGGCTCAATCACATAGTTATACGGCATGAACAGTACCGACGCCCTGTCGGCCAGTTTGCGGGCCGAGTAATACGGACAGCACTCGTGTTGGCGCCCGAAGTCCACCAGATCTTCGATGTCCATCACTTTGCAGCCGTTCCGCGATTTATAGTATTTGTCGATATGTTTGTCCACTTTTTTCTGAACGTTAGGATAGTATTGGCATTCGTCGTGTTTTGCCAGTTTGGAGCACATCTGGCTTTGCATCGTCGGCCCCGACTGACTCTGCACTTGCGGACACAGACACAGCTGTTCCCGAGACGCCAACACAACCGCTTCTTCTGTCCGATACGCCGTTTGTTTCAATTGGCGACAACTTTGCGATAACTGGGAATGCGTTCGACTCGTGTACACAATCTGTGGCTCCCTTTTGTCGCTATCATCACTGCGGACCTCGTTCTCAACTTCTGGAGCCACTATTGGTGGGCTGTCGCAGATGGTTATCACTTCTGGAACCATTTTTGGCGGACTATCAATGATAATAACCTCTGGTTTATTGTCAAACGGGTCCCGAAGTATGGGTTTAAGAAGTCGTTGGTAGCGAATCCACGCCAACGACGAGCAAAGTATGCATAACGTCTTTCCTGTACCCGTCGGCGACTCCAACAATCCGTTCTGTTTCTGGAACAAGAAAAAACAATTAGTGGTCAAAACTTTCAAATAATTAACAATGTCTGTGCAGATACAATACCTGTTGGCAGCACCTAATCATAGACCGTATGTAATCCAGTTGTAAACCATATGGTTTGTACGGAAAGTGTACTTCTATACTATCGATGATTATCGGTTCTCGAGTGTTGTCCATCATTTGACGGAACAGTAAGTGGTGAGTCTTATTATTTAAGAAATTAATTATTTTTTAAAGACTAAAGCACAAAAAATAAATGTTGAAAAGTAAATAAATGAATATATGTCATTTATTTATTTTTAAAAGTGGATAATAATAAAATATTATTAAATTAATTATTGTTGAAAATTTTAGGACAAAAAATAAATGTTCAAAACTTAAATATAAAAAAAATTAAATAAATAATAATTATTTATTTATTTATTTGAAAACTTTTCTATGTTTTTAACCATTAAATCTATGGAAGTGTACAGTATGGCATGCAGAATACTAATGTATAGTTTTATAGCTTTCTGCATAACTAGACGTACTATAACGTGAGTAAGTATTGGTGATTCTCACTGGTCCTACAGTGACCTTGCATATCAGTTTAGTCGTATTTATAACGCTCAAGATCATTTAACGCAATGTGCTGTAATGACCTTGAACGTTATAAATACGCTATTAATAATGCGCGTTGACTTTCGAGATTTTATTCACGATTAAGACAATTGGATTTAAGACTATTTGCGGCCATCGATGACCGTCTGTTGGAACCGTTGAGTGACTGCAAGAGATTAACGCATTTAAAGTTGCATTTAAAGTCTCTCTCTCTCTCTCTCTCTCTCTCTCTCGCTCAAGCGAGAGAGAGAGAGAGAGAGAGAGAGATTTACTGTTTGCTAGTGTTTGGCCCGAATGTCCCACTCATGGTACACCTGGGCGCCGGTAGATTATATCAGCAATATGTATATAATTTGATTACACACTACAGGTAACTCGTAACTGTAACCCGTAACTCTCTCTCTCTCTCAATCGCACTAAAAGTGTATATTTAATAGACTTTTTTCACGTTGTTTTGGTGGCTGTACTTTGTGTTTGTTTGCAGACAAACTGTGGTGTTATACAAATTAGATGGTGTTGTTGGTTAAGGTGGGGTACATATAGAGGGAGGGGTGTACAGTGGGGATGGGAGGGCTACATTTGTATGATTGTTTCGTATAACCATGTTCAGTATATACAGTATTAAAATACACTGTTGTGAACAATAATGTATTAGCAAAGACACAAGTGGTGATGACCTCAATTAGCTAACACTACAGGGTGTCCATCAATGTGTGTGTGTATCACATTTGGCCATCAATTATACGCCATTATATTTTTCTGTATTATATTAGATCCCATAATATGTGATTAATTTAAGGCACTTATAAATATAAAATATTAAATCATTAATCAAAGAATATTTTCCAACAATATTATAGATGTATTTATACTTTATTTTGTAAATGTAAATGGTTGTGTGTGTTATTGCTTATTTGTATCTAGCAAGATGCTTTCGCTTTAGTCTATACACATTTCAAAATTGTTTTTGTGTTATAATGGGATTTCCATACTATAGATAGGGGGTGAAATAGGGTGGAGTGGGACAGGGGTTAAGCTATTTTATATACCTATATTCTGTACACCAATAATATAATAATTGTTACAAATAACGATAGTTTAAGGTTCTCTACCACTATCTATTTTCATCTTACATTTTGATTTCATTGCACCTTATGACAAAAATGATTATAAATTACATTTATTAAAATTGAAATTTATTTCATGTTTACATCTTATTTGCATTTTATTTGTTATTTATTGCTATCATTTGTAACACTCGTATGCATGAGATGTGATAAAAGTCATGTAGACCTCAGATGAGAGAGAGGAGAGAGAGAGAGAGAGAGAGAGAGAGAGAGAGAGAGATAAAAGTTATTGAAAATTAAATGTTATTTAAATTATATGTTTAATTAAATTAAATTAAAATGTTTAAAAATATTAGCATTATCAATATTAATTTTGTTTTAGACATACAATTCAAAATTTATATTTATAATAATAAATTACCTAAAGTATTCATACTTTTATTGGTTAAAATGATAGATTTTAATAGTTTCTATATTTATATTTTGGTTAAAAAACAAAAACAAATGTATAAATTAATCATGATTAAAATTGATATAAATTTATTATATATAAATAGATAAACCAACATATAGTGTTTAATATTTTTATACTAAAACTTTTATATCTATATTATACATTAATTTATAGCATAGTACCAATAATAACTTAAAGCTTATAAAACTATTTAATTACAAATGTTTCCTTAAATAACATTGTTAATTAGCACCCTAGTTCAATTAGTTAAAATACTAAACATTATCATTCCAATGTCTAATTATTGGACTCTAATAAATACTTCTCTATATTAAATATAATTCTAATACAATATTTATATTTATATTATGTTTATCTTATGATAACCCTAACGACACATTTCCGATGATAAGTGATTATATCATATCCGGAGCACTTAAACTGGCCGTCCGGCCACCCCTTCCAGTGGGGGCCGGCGTTTACCATACAATAAAACTGCAGACATTATTATTTTAGCCAACCCTACCCTTACGATTGCCACTTAATATTATTGAGGCTTTAGTGTAACAAAAATACAACACAACCGCAGAAATCAAATCATATCTGAAAGCAAATTATAGTGAAAAGAGTGGCAATAAATGCAAACATTTGATATATAAATGTCAATACAATATAATAATAATATCAATGATGGCATCAGTGATATACCACTTAACACATTAGATTATATCATAGGCATGATTCATATGACTAGTCTTGAGTACAGTCGAACATCCAAAATACAATACAGTATTGCCAATACTTTATATGCTTATGCCTAGCTATTCTAATAAATATACTTTGGACATTGTTACTTATTTTTAAATTACAAACAGTACCATGGATTACTAAATTTTACGCTTCATGTGACATAAACACAATTGATTAATGAATGTTTAATTTATTGTCTAAATTGTTTCAGATTAAGTTATATGAATATTCTAAGAATATGATTATTATAAGAGAATTTGACTGTGGTAACAAATATCAACTCAATTATAACCAATACAAAATAGTATATATCAAATGGTATGTGACTTATGATTACATTTGATATAACGATCTGATTTTGAAAGGAAATGGATCCCAAACTGGCCATTCATGGCCTACCCGTCACACTCTCACTGCTGTTCCCCCAAAGCATTATCCATATATACTGTATATCCGATGCCATATGAGAGGCAATTCACTTGTATTTATGGGTTTTTGGTCCGCAAATAATAGCACTAATAATAATAATTTACTTCAATATACACTACGAGATGTCAAAATTATACAGATTTCAAAATGTTGTCATGCGATTAAAATGTACATGTTTAGTTTTAAGATCTAGTATTTCAAATTGATCAGAAATTTAAAATAAAATTTAAACACAATGTTAACGCTGAAGATAAAGTTAACATAAAATATAACATTTTAAACACAAAGAAACTCCAAATATAGTAAAAATAAAATGTTATCATTCAATATATAAAGTATGACTTAACATTGTCAAAATAACCACAAATATGTAAAATTGTATATGAGAATAACTTTTGAAAAGTGACCATAATGATTCTCTCTCTCTCTCTCTCTCTCTCTCTCTCTCTCTCTTACTCACTCACTCTCATTCTCTTACATTCATTTACACACTACAGGTAACTCGTAACTGTAACCCGTAACTCTATGTGAAATAATAAAGTGAGTAAGGTGATAAATATAATGTATGTGAATTACATGCCATTTATCAGTTAAGAAGGAAGAATGATATGGGCGTTGGAGGAAAGGGAACAACCATTTATTGTCTGGTAAATAGGTTTGCAAATTTGGTGTAGTTTTGTCGCCTATATATATATTTTGTATTACAATATAATATAAAAGTTGTTATATATTGACAATATATTGTACACTATTATACACTATTGGATGTGACTCCTGAACACTATTGATTCCCAGAACAGTATAAATGCGGTCCAACAATAGGCCCAACAGTACAGTATATATACTTACGTACATGGTATATATGTAAAGTAGACTGTACTGCACTGTAAAGTAGACTGTATGGTGATTTGAATGGACGTAAATGAGAATACGATGAACTGAACGACAATGTGCTGTAAAAACAGCATTCATAACAGTTTTTGAGTACAACTGACAACTCTATTCAACACAATTGGCTACTCAGTAGGCAATCAACTGTATATACGATTGCCTACACAATGAATGGCACAGCGATATAATAGAGTCATATACGCGCCACAAAACTGTCCCCTCTCTCACCCTGATGCAAAAAAACCAACACACAATATATACAATGGCAGAGTAAATTTAAATGGTATTAGTACACTTTTGGGAACATCCCGTAGGCGCTCTTAAACCCTCCCTACAAATGCCAACTACTGGTGCTCTGGCGGTGCCATATGTCTGAGTCTAGGGATTTGACTTACAAAGGATTAATTGTACCTCGGCTATTTATCCAATATATACAAGTCAATTATTGTAAATTCAATGGCCAAATATTCTGTCGCCATTGTCGATGTATGAGCCAGGTCATATGAATAAGTTAAAAATGTTATTAAAAGTTAGAATAAATTAATTAATTTAGTTGACAATAATTTTCTGAAAGTGTGTGTGAGAGAGAGAGAGAGAGAGAGAGAGAGAGAGAGAGAGAGAGAAATGTTAAAATTTAATTTAATTTACAAAACAACAAAACCTCATGATATAAAAGTAAAATGGTATTAAATATATATCAAATAAGTAATTACACAGCAACAGGACCTATCATCTTTAATAGGCAAGCATGACCATGTTAAATCTGAATCTCATAGCTAATATCTACGCGAGTTATGTAGACTTTTAAGACAATTCATATAAATAAAATTACCAAATTATACACTAAAAATATACACTGTAAAGTACTGTAAAGGCATTTGTTATAAATTCATATGAATGACAATCGTATCTAATTTATCACAAAGTATTTTGTAAATGAAAAATGTATTTATGAATTATACAATAAAAATGTTACTAATTTCTTTGTATTTGTCTAAGATAAAGCTTAAATGCTATTACACTGTACAATAATTATTTACAACCATGATGGACAAGTATGAAATTTTGAATTGTATACTTTTGATTGTGGTCATTCACAATTATTGTGTAACAGTACACAACCACATTGTGCTCGAGTTTTTAGATTTTGTTTGACGTACAACTGTTGCCATCAATTATAATCTTTGAGATATAATAGCCATTGAATTGATTGGTATAATACCTCCTATGCCGGTGTCGACCCCGGCATACCTGACCGGCCACTACTCACCACGTAATTAGCGGTTATTATAACATGTAAAAACTTACGAAAAAATTGTATTCATATAAAATGACAGTGGTGGAAATAGAAACAATTTTGGCACTTCTGCAATATAGTTTGTGATTCATAATGTTTATTAAAATATTGTTGAGTAATTTTATTTTAAATTGGATTAAAATTATGAAATTATAAGTTATATTTAAAATGAACATATTTGATTTTAATAATGGACAACAAAATGGTAAGTTTTAAAAAATATTAAAAACCATAATTGAAAATATAAATAAAACGGAAACACATTGATTACATATCGGATGTGAGAGTCGATAAGGATTATGCAGAATAATGCAGAATAAATGATTTTTTATCGATTGTCACCATATTCAATTAACGTGTTTTTATAAATACATGTTCGAATAGAAATCTAATGCATGAGTGTTGACATAAAAAAGTTAATTTTATATAGATTTTTTATTGCCGATATATACACTATTCAAAACATATTTTATGGGAGAGAGAGAGAGAGAGACTAAATTAATTTTCAAAAACTGCTTTCACAAGTCAGAAGTTAGAGCAAATTAAATTTTGATATTTAGTTGAACCTTTGGGAGGCCAGAGAAATGGCAGTCAAAGCTAATAATAAGTCCAATGAATTGAACAGAGAGAGAGAGAGAGAGAGAGAGAGAGAGAAATAGGGATAGGGTTAAGGTCCTAATCCTTGGCCCATGACATCCCATACCCTTGAATAAAAATAATGTTTGGGAGAGAAAATGAATGCAAAAAACTTTCTCATAAGAAATATATTGAGAATATATTACATTTTCATTTTCTATTGATTTAAATTTCTTATAAATCTAACATTTTTAGTTACTTTTATTGAATTTATTATTTTGTTATTATGCATACGTGTTGTGAATATATAATTGATTATCTTTGTATAATGTATAGTACACTAACTTTACACTATAATAATAAATGCAAAATATATTACATTTTATGATATTCATTTTCTTTTTGTATAATTATATATTTTTATTGACTAACAAATATAGATTGATGAGCATGCATGTTCAATATATATTAATAGAATATTAAAATGATCTTGGTTAATTCATAAAACATGTTTAATCATTTTGTTTGTTTTAAATGCTTGCGTGTGTGTGTGTATGTGTATGTGTACGTGTGTGTACGTGCTTGTACGTGTGTGTACGTGCTTGTACGTGCGTGTTAATGACCCTGATGTTGGGCTCATCAAAGCCTACAACTACTTATATAATTGATTATCTTTGTATAATGTATAGTACACTAACTTTACACTATAATAATAAATGCAAAATATATTACATTTTATGATATTCATTTTCTTATAATTATATATTTTTATTGACTAACAAATATAGATTGATGAGCATGCATGTTCAATATATATTAATAGAATATTAAAATGATCTTGGTTAATTCATAAAACATGTTTAATCATTTTGTTTGTTTTTTCGATAAAAATTATTACAAATTTTTAAGACAGTTTGAGGTGCCATTAAAATCATTTATAATTCACATAATTATACAATTAATATTTGTGAGTTATATGAATAAATATAATATTAATTCGTGGAGTTTAGATTTGTGGTCATTTGCCCAAACACTTCTGTCCAGTAATTCATTGTGTGATCTAAAGGAAAAGGGATGGCATGTATTGAGTGGACAATTGATTTTTGCCGACAAACCGGACACCAATATTATTAAGCACTAGAAGAGAGAGAGAGAGAGAGAGAGAGAGAGAGAATGAAAATCCAATTTCTATCTGAAATAACAAAGTATTAGTCTATTGTACACTATATGTGCTGCACAAGTAGTTTATTATTGTGTATAAATTGAATATACAGTGTATATAATAAAGAATCCAATGTCTATCCCTCATAACAATAGGGCTCTATTTAGGGCTTATTTGTGTGCCTAAGAGTGCCGTTTGAAACGGTTGATCATGGTCTATTTTTGTGTGTGAACGCTTGCTTATTGATACATTTGCTATTGAATTTGTGCCTACAGTCAATTCCCTAGTGTGACATATTTATTAATTTAATTTACTCAGTTATTTAATATTTATAAATTCTATGCAATCATTTATTGTGGCAAATATTTTGATAATATTGCAAACAATCTACTTTAAAAACTTTGAAATTTACTTTTTAAAAATTATCTTGTTTTTAATCTATAACACATCTATAGCGATTCTGATATTTATACCAAATATAGTATGTATAAGCGATATGTTTATAAGAAAAATATTATCCGTATCCTATTCTTATACAGAGTTTTCAATGCAAGCAAATACACTATAGATGTGTATAATATACTCACAAAAAGTCTAGATTCAATATCTAATATATTCAGTACAGTATACACTGTATACTATACAGAATAGTGTAGTTGTAATAATAAAAGCACTTATTTGTAGTCAATAATAATGTCCATAAAAATGTTCTTGATTTTCATTGTTATCATAGAGTCTAACTT